TGGTGTTACTGCGCCGTCGGAGAAATGCAGAAATTTAGGAGAGAATACGTCACTGTTTATAACGTAGCATCACAATGCCCAGGCACTAATTCGATACTTTTATAATAACCGCAAATAACTAAATACAGATAAAATCAAATAGTGGTATTATTTTTATTCTGTCCTCCCGCATTATCGCAAGTGATCTTTAAATGTTTCTCACCTTTATTCAATCGTTTAATTCCATCGAATACCAGGCTTAGCGTACCATTAGGGCCTTTCCCTATTATTTCATTCTCATCAAGAACATAATTAATTTGTTCACGTACTGCTTCATCTTGGATACCAAATAAATGTACTTTACGCGGACTGAGATAATAAATCTTACTTACTTGTTGATCGGAATGGGGTACGTGAATGTTTTGCGCTCAATCGTAACTGTAATGAGCGGTCACGTCAACGCTACAATAATCAGCTTTCCCTCTTGTTATTAAATGCTCACTTACCTGTTGTTCTGCTAATTTCATATTTTTGTTGTAATAGTTTCTCTCTAATTTAGCCTTAACTAAATGTTCTTTGAATTTTTTTAGTAAGTCTCTTGCTTCTTCTTCCTTGCGAGAATTGTATTGTAAGCCGTTCCGAAAATGTTGGCTCTCTCTCTCTCTCTCTCTCTCTCTCTCTCTCTCTCTCTCTCTCTCTCTCTCTCTCTCAATAAATCCGTTCTCAGACTCATAATTTGAATAACGGTATGAAAAATCTTTTCACACAATCGGCCATAGAGCAACAATGTCGAAAACAAGAATACATGAATACTTTGTTCGGAAATCTTCAGATTGGGATGCTGTTGACTTCCTGAACCAGTGCAATGTGGAGCCCTCAAACTTTGAACAGAAAGTAGACGATTACCTTAAAAGCCTTGAGTTTATATCTAATGATAAGCAGCAGGATAGTAACAGATGGCAGAGAGTAAAATCACTTCTCAACAGATACAGAAAGGCAAGTACACATGTAAACCATTTTTTTCTACCAGTGAAAATAACAAGGACTTTCTCAGTTTTTTCATTCAAGGTTTCTAGCTGCCAGTGTTTGGGGCATAGGTGGCTTCCTAGGTCATCTAATGTTCAAGGTTTCTAACATACCCAGCGCTGGTACCCACTGGGGCATAGGTGGCTTCCTAGGTCGTCTAATGTTCAAGCCAGCACTGGGGCATAGATGGCTTTCTAGGTCATCTAATGTTTAAGGTTTCTAGCTGACCCAACACTGGTTCCACTGGGGCATAGGTGGCTTCCTAGGTCATCTAATGTTCAAGGTTTCTAACATACCCAATGCTGGTACCCACTGGGGCATAGTAATAGGTGGCTTCCTAGGTCATCTAATGTTCAAGCCAGCACTGGGGCATAGGTGGCTTCTTAGGTCATCTAATGTTTAAGGTTTTTAACTGACCTGGTGGACAGGATAATAGATAGACTGGATATGTTTTAGCTGAGAATATAAGTATTGTATAATTTTGTGAATTGTCTATGCTAGGGTATTCAACCGGACTGCCAACGTGTAAAGTCATGGCTGCAAGAACAACTGCACAAGAATAGAACTGGCAAAGAAACTGATTGAATCTCAGTACATTTGCACAATCCAACATTCGCTGATGTTGCTAGTGGGATTATCCATGGCGGAACTATCAATGGTGGAACCATTGGAACATTTGGTATTGAACCATCAAAGAAAAGAACTCAAGAGGCATGGATTCATTTTTTTTTTTTTGTTAGAACTGTGCATTGCAATATTTTCCTAATATTTAACATTTTAGGATAATCAAACTCATCCGAATCCTGCTTCAAATATAAATATAAAACAGATGAAACATGAAACAGCAGATGATGATGAAACTGGGCTTGATGATTATGATAATGATGAGGATCTCCAATTTGATCTTGACTCCCTTATCAAGAACTTAGAAAAAGAGCCGGAATTTGAGGTACCAATACTAACACAGTACCTTTGATTTCTTGTTTATAAAATTATTTACCATTGCTTCTGTGCATAGTGGACAGTTGGTAATGTGAACATTACACAAAGATTTTGTGACTATCAGAAAGAGATCATCAAAATGCTAAAGACAAAGGGACTGACTTGGAAGAATGATTATGAGATTCTGTAAGTTTTGTTATGTTTATAAGTTTAGAATTACACTAGACTCACATACCCATGTTATTTTTGTATTGGGTTAGAGCACTATCATCCATAATTGTGCTGGAGCAAAGCTGTCCTTATCCCACCTTTACGAGCCAAGAGTGGCAAATGATATTAAAGACAAACCCACATGCAATTCATGAGCCAGTGATACCAGCTCCTGTGTCAGCAACTTTATGTGAAGCTGTGATAAGGCATCTGTCAGGCCAAGACAGTTATATAGATGCAGACATGACTTCATTGGGCAGAGCTGCTGCACAAACCTTTAATGAATTGTAAGTATTGTCTTTGTTTTGTTTTGTTTTGTTTTTATTAGGTTTATTTATAAAATTTATTTAGGCGCGATAATGTACCTGATATTGCACCACACAGGATGAACACTGCTGTCAATTTTTGACTCCCTACACACGTCCCATTTTCTTGTCAAGAAACAAAGACTATGAAGTACAATTAAATCGGTGTGTCAATTGCACAAGAAAACGACCTGATATTTCATGCACTATCAGCGGTGTCCCTTTTTTAGTCTCCGAAATTAAACCACTGGGATGTAGTCCTTTGCAGAAAACAAAGGACTTCATAAAAGCTCATCTGCAAGCCAGAAAGGCGATCAACCAGCAACTGAACTCAAAGGGTAGTCCGGGAAAAGCAGCGATACTACTTAACTATGGTTTGTTTTACTATATCTATAAATGTGTTACTTTTTTTTTTTTTTTTACTAAATCAGTCTGAAAATTGCAGCTGACATTGTGCAAACACATCTCATGGATCTACAATTTGATGGGATGTATCGATCATGGTCATTGCTTAAAACCAGATTGGTAATTGATGAACTTAGTTTACCATTGGTAGAATCCAACTTTGCACATTTTGTAGCACTAGAGGTATGTTACACTTTTCTCACAAATCTTCAAGTTATTTTTCTATTATTTTATATATTTGAATTTATAGCAACATGTATCTGAACTTGCAAAAGATTATATAAGTCGCAGGCTTCCTTTTACTCCACCTTTTCAAATCCAGTACATGCGTACTATTCCGGACTCTCCACAAATCCGTGAAATGCTAGGTTCATAGTTGTAAGGGGATGCATTTAAGAAAGTTATGGCATGCACACTCTGAAAGAAAGAAAACTTTGAAAATGTGCCACGCACGTTCGGCATGTTTGCAGAGTCAAACCATTTATTTGTTACATGTAACTAGGAAGCGTGAAGATGTTGTTACATGTAAAATAATAATGCACATCATGTTCTAAAAATAAATTTCTTGACATTACTGTTACGGTCGGCGGATATTATTTGAGTGGGAGAGCAATTAATTATGTGGGCGTGTTCAGCCGGGAGGGGGATTTTCACGCTTTAGCTCGTATCGTTGCCCTTACTACAACGATTGTTCACTTAAGACTGAGACTAAAGACACAAGTGACTCTTTTAATTATGTGCGCGCTTTCGTTTTACTCCCTATACGATGCAATCGGCGTTGCTCGTATCTAAATAAGGGTACCTACGATATTACAATAACAACTCTTATGATATCGTAGAATCGAAGGGGAATCAAATACTAACTTAACAAGGGCTATCTTCGATTTAGGTTTATTGACTAGTCAAACAACGTCACTTATTCCTAATTAAACAACAATATAAATTACGTTCGCGAATCTCTAATTATGCGTCAATTGTCGTCCTTTCAGTCACCCCGTCAATTATATTGACTAGACCGGTTGACAATCTCAACAACTCAGTAAAACTACTAAGTCACGTGAGCTAATTGACAATTAGTATCTTGAACGATAGAAAGAAAGTTTAAACGGTTTTATAAATAATTTAAAGGATAATGATCAAGATCGATCGTAATATTTTATTCTTATATTCTTCAGAATATTTGAATATTTAGCACATTGAACATGGGTTTTTAGACGTTGGGAGAGGCTGCTTATATACACTCCCGTGGCAACAGTCACCGACCACCCCCTATATTTGCAATCAAACGAGAACATTGGCACAACGAGCAATGCAATCACCGTAAAATTAATACTGAATTTAGCGCATCTTCTAGATAGTATGTACACAAAAAATTGCAATATGTTAGGTAGTAAAGTTACGAATTTACCTAGAGCCGACTTTTA